TAGATAGATAAAGTTATGTACTAATTATATTAGCTTGCAGTACCTCGGCTAAAGTGGTGTTGAGAGTGTCACTGAAAGGCACCTGCATCTCATCTTGCAACTGTAGTTGCACCGCTGGCGGAAGGTCTCCCGTTCGTATCATGCGTAGTTGCTGAATAGAACAGTTAGTTAGCATGGATACCATGGCAATCAAACATGTGGTATCTAGATTGGCGAGCACCATCGAGTTGACATATGTTCTATTTGTGGTCTAACTGAAAAACATGAAAGCCGCATCAATCTCGATGTATATCTTTACAACCTCGTAATATTATTCTAAGCTGTTTAATCAATAGTGAGCTCGAGTCTTCAGACCGTGGCGTTAATAGTCATAGTCTTATATATAAATACTACTATGTTTCAATTTAGAAGGCTATGACTACTACATGGCGATTTTTATTTACAATGGACTGACGCGGTGGAATCAGGAATGTGATGCTTTTTATTTATTTTTTATTGTTTTGGTTTGTTTTGTTTAAAAAAAAGAACAAAACTTTCTCTCTCTCCCCCTTCTCTCTGACACAGAGTACTAGCGAGAGTCTAGGAGACCTTGGCTCATGACTGTTTATTTTAAAATATCTATAAATAGCTAGCCTTTGAATGCTCTTAGAGTCAACTTATTGATAAATTGTTAAATATGGGGCGGCTATAGCCAATATTATGAAGCGAAGTCGCCAAAATAAAAATATTTAATTGGTGAGATTTAAAGGCGTGGCCAAGATCAGAAATATAACAGCAAAACACTAGTCATAAAGCCACACATAAAAACATTCATGTTTTATGCTATTTACGTACGCGACTACGCGAGTCTACGAGGCGCCATAAGAAGTCCAACAGCTGGACAGGAGGACTGGTCACAAGGCCGGCGGCCGCCTTGACTTTTCCACTACGAATTTCTGTTCTGACAATGATCAATGAAGCATACTAAATATATACATAAGCTATAGTAAATACCAAGTAAATAGTATACATTCGCGGATACGACGTATTCTATATTTACTTATTTACTTGTGGATTTACATACATACATTAATCAAAAATACAGTGTGAAGAGAGAGATATTATACGGACAGCGCAGGTCATTCGTTGTCCGACAGAATTATATTGCCTGTCGACTGTTCATGTAAATACGTTTGTTAATTCAACATACAAGCTGAATAACGCTCAGAAAGCATCTATAGGACGTATTCTGATATATTTGTACGTAGTATATTCTGATCGAAGCTACGTACACACACACACACACACACACACACACACACACGCGCGCCCGCGCGCGCGCACACATACTCACATACGCACACACGCGCGTGCACGCACGCACCCATACGCGTATACACATATACATATACTTCTTCATATATATATATATATATATACTATAATATAATATACTATAGTATAGTATATTATACTATAATATAAGTAGAGTGATGAACATCACGGTTTGAATAGCGTATAATAATTGCCTCGACGGATAATCAAAGCGCTATATACCCACTTGAATGAAGAACGGTGTTCGTTTATACATAGACACAAAGGCTATGTATCCAAACATACTCAAAATCCCCATCTACACACAAGTCGGATATACTCGGTGGCGTATGGACAACAGAACACGCCATTAGACAGATTATCATAAGGTTGGGGTAGAGATATAGTGACATACAACTATAAATACAACTACCTATAGCTATACAACTATGTCGGGGGTAGGCAATAATGCGATCACTCCGATGCCCAGTCAGACGACGCTGAATTTCTATGGCAACAACAGCAACGAGTCATTTAGTGAGACAATGAACAATGATTTAGCAAGTGCTATCAACCTCAACAAGAGCAAGAAGATCGAGAAAGAGAGAGAAAGGGCCCAGAAATGTATAAATAGAGGCGAGAATGGTAGCACGAACGCCACCGCCAGTACGCCCGGATCAGTGATACGAATAAAGAAAGGCCGGAAGTCGGCGGGGGAATTGTTGCGGAAAGCAACAGCTGAAGAGACCTTGGACAGGTATACTGACAGCGGAGCAGATGAGAATGTAAGTACAAACATAGAGGCCATATATAATCACCGGAGTGACAATGGTGGTGTAGGTATTAATAGCGAGATGGATGCGCCCCTCTATATACACTCGCAAGGGAACAACTCGGCTGTCAATCCGTTGCAGGCCATGGGCGCCCGTATAAAACGCGAAGACAAGACGTTTATTGACAGCTCAGACTCAGAGCATCAGGAGGCACTACAGTCCAATCTGCTGGCAAATGTATCGCGGGTGAATAGGACCCCTTCCGAAATTCGAGCACAGCAACACAATGACAATGCCCATGGTAGCACTGTAAGATCGGCGTCGGGCAATAGCTTGCGCGCTAAATCTGACTATAAGCCGGCAGTTGCTGTACGGTCACCCCACAGTGGGTCTATGCCGACACCGGCCGCAGGCACGAGCCGAGCCTCAGCTCAGATACAGAGTAGAGGGGAAAGCGCTAATGAGGTTAACCGAGAAACCCCCCGACCGGAAGTCAAGCCCAGAGGTATCAATACCAGTAATACCAGTGATGTGCCAACTAAGCCGAAGGTGAAGCCTAGGCCCAACCCACGGCCACGGAGCTGTCATTTGGAACCCGTGAATACACAGACTACCAGCGAGCAGATGCACAGCGGCAAGATGCTCAAGGGTGTCAGCTCGACTGGCGACGTACATCTGAATGGAGAGGATGTGTCTTCGCTCTTCAACACACCTGAGGCTACCCACACACCACATATGGAGCCCCTGGGACCTGCTTCCGACTACACAGAGTTCGCCGGAATTACTTCGTCGCCCGCAGTAGATACACCAGGCAGCGGTGAACCGCGAGTGAAGTCCATTCTGTTCAGCAGGAGTGTGTACGACGAGGACGTCATGCTCGAGCGTGAACAGGACAAGCTAGCACCGCCAATGGCCGTCGCGCGCGGCAAAATGAACCAGTTGGCGCATAACAGCACACTCACGTCGCTGGCGCCTGTGACCAGTGATCAGCCGCAGGGCGATGTCATGGCCAAGCTTGGGTTTGCCCGAGGTGACTCGTACTTCCGGGCGGACTCGCCAACGTCAGTACCCTCAGCGTCGGTGGAGAGTTTCTCGAAGTTAAATGTAGAGCCGGAGGTTAGCAAGATTGCCGTAGAGGTGCAGCACAAACTGGACGCCCGGAAGCAGGCGGCTGCGCAACTAGGGGTCAAAACCAGGACGGCGCGACCGCGGGGCAATACCCCGGATAGCAAGCGGTCTTCGAGGGGGTATACCGAGAGTGACAATGAGCAGGCCACTGGGGGTACGAGTACGAGCGAGTCGAAGAGTAAGAAACTGGCCAACCGGCTGAGTATGGGGGGGATAGGCAACGTCATATTTAACAGTAGTAAGGGGAGTGTGGTGGGCGGAGATGATATGAGTGGGAGCGATTCCAGTATGTCTAAGGACAGGGAGAAGCGTAAGGTGAAAGAGAAGAAGCTCGCGTCCAAGCCTACGAAAGGTCTGGGGAGGGAGGCATGGGAAGAACGGATTAGGAACGAGAAGCGGTCGCAGGAGGCTCAGCGAGAGTATGAGATGTTCCAGAGACAACTAAGTGAAGAGAAGAAGCTGCTACTGTTGGCGGAGTATAAGGCCATCCGTGAGGACCGGGTGGCCAACAGATACAAGGAAAAAATGGACAAGAAAGCCGAGAAAAAGATGCAGAAACAGCTGGTTATTGAGCGGAAACAGCAGGAGAAAGACCAAGAACGCATCCGTAAGGAAGAGCACAAGCTGGCTGCAAGGCAGATGAAACAGCTGGAAAAGCAAGGCAAGGGGGTGAACGGGTTTGTGCGGGGCACGAGTATCACTGTGCCTACGTCTAGTGCGATGGGTAACCCGCAGCAGTTGCAGCGCCCGCGATCTATTTCAGATTTCCTGGATGATCAGGGCGATAATGAACCCACGCAGGACCAGGACCAGGGACAGGGACAGGACAACCAGTTGAAGCATCGAGGCATGCAGCGGCCAGGTCAGATGAGAAGCATGCACCAAATGCATAGCCCCAGTACGGAGTATCGGCCGAACAACATTGTCAGGCGCGACTCGAGTCCTAGTGTCCAGCCGAACATACGCAACGTCCAAAACATGCCGGGTATGCGAGGCAACCAGCCACAGCAGGGCTCGAATATTATTCGGCGTTCCCCCAGTGGCAATGTGGTGGGTGGCACGCGCAACCCCGCATCGCAGAACAACCCTCAGAACCTGCAAAGACCCATTGCTCGCGGATCTCCACTACAAACACGGCAGAGTGTCCAGCCACAGCAGCGCAGGCCTGTGAGCGGTGCCAATGGCCCGAACCAGCGCGCGCGAGCGCATTCAGGAGGTGGCCAGACTGCCAGTCCGATGCAAAGTCAGGACTTTAGGAGATTTACGACTGAAAGCTCGACCTTTCGGGCTGCACGGCCTGCGAGTCAGATGATCACTTCACATCCCAATCAGAACCCTAATCCTATTTCGAATCCGAATCAGAATCCCTATGTCAACAGCAGCAATCTGCAGCATAACTTCAGCCGGAATTCGAATATGGGAATGGGAGGGACTGGGATGGGAAGTGCCAGTTATGAATCTATGCCTGGCGGAGATCACGGGCAGGGCCAGTATATGTATGACATGCAGAATCAATATGTCGACACACATTTCGATGATGATCAGCAGTAGGTGCGTGTACCCAGTGTTGAGCTCAGTTCAGGATGTTAGATGTTTAGTGGGCGGGTAATAATGGGGAACATGTATAATAGGGATATCATGAGTAGTGTGGGTAAAAACTAGTAGGGAAATAAATGTATATTTTGAATATGTTTGTACTTACTCATACGTGTATAGTTTTATGCAAATGTACACATATGTGTATTTATACATGTACATCTTATGTTTATATATACTGCGTGAGACTATGACATAATACTAGCACACACATATACACACACACCAATATATATCACACACACACACACACACACATATATATATATATATATATATATATATATATATATATATATATATATATATATATAAATATATACCATATTTGAATATGTATATGTGTATATGTATGTGTATGTATATATATATACATACATAACTAACTAACTACTATATACTATATATATCTATTACACTANATGTTATTATNTTACTATTTATATTANACTTACACCTTATAACCTAATAATTTAAAC